TTTCGGTAGAGTTGGGGGGGACGGCGTTTTTGAAGGGGGCATATCAAGAAGGTACTTTCTTGTTTTCAAACTAGTTTCATTACTACTATATATTTTTTGTGGTACGACATTAATTTCGTTTGGAAATGGATAACTGGTGTGATGAATTTACGTTTTCGACGACTACGTTGTTAAAGTTCTAGTTTTAGTATTAGTAGGATCTAATGTGCTCTTTGTGTCATGCAGCGTGTTTGCTGCGGATTTTAATGGCTTGGTGGTATGAGCTGTGTTTGCAGGACATCACAAGGGCGAGCGAGCACTTCAAGCATAGAAAGTTTCTCATCTTCGAATAGCTCGCAGGCTGGGTATCCACGTCAGAAGCCTGGTCAATTTTTGCCAAGTCAAACTTCCCCGAGCCGACTTGGTCCCCAGATTTCGAACAGTTCTCAGCAGCAGCGTCAACAAGGTAACCAGCAGCAACAGGCGCAGCATGGGAAGCAGTATGTATCGCCAGAGCAAACTCCTGTGCATCCTGCTCATCAGGGGACCAGGAGGCTGGTGTCTGGAGAAGTGACTGGCGTTGCTTCTCTTCAACAGCGTCAGCAGGCTTTTCTATTTCAACAGCAACTTCAAAATGGGTATCACCAACAGCAGTATGGCATGTTTCACGCACATCCAGACGCATTGTTTTCAGGATTGGTTCCGGAAAGCGATGTGAGAACGCATGGGAATATTTTGATGTCCCCCAAGAAGGATAACAGGACAGCATACATGGGGGCGTCGCACGGCACATATTTCTCTTCTGCCACAAGAGTGAATGGCGGACAAGGGGGTTCGAATGCGAATGCTCCCTCTTCAGCAGGGATTGCAATGGCTGCAGGTATAGGCCTCGGAGGTGTAGGTTATGCAATGCACGGCGCCCCACATCAGCGTTACTATGAGGAACCGCAGCATCAATGGCCGATTTCTCCGAATCAGTACTATGCTAATGAGCTTTACTTAGGTCAGGTGCTTGCTTACTTGCTGGTTTCCGGGTGAATAAAGTCTGGAAAGCATAATTTTTGCAAGGTGGATCTGCATTGCGTTCGGTTGTCATTTTGTGTTGCTGCTGGTTATTGTGGTACCGTTTGTTGATGTCTCGATTAGCGTTTTGCAGCACATGATACTGAAATGTTGGTGTGATATTCAGGACCAAAACCCCCGATGCCAGGGCGTCGATGATGTGGTGCATGAATTGGGCTATTTGAGCAGCCGTGTGATGTGATAAGTGGATGCTTTGTTGGTTTTAGCGCAAGTATGGAGTCCAAAAATGGGGACTGAGGAGCTTGTGCTAGTAATGCCTAAGTTGAGGCGTGTATGAGACTTTATGCGAGTTTCGCGAATTGTCAGCAATCATCGATGAACGATCAACTCTGTGCAGGCGTGTGGAAGCCTCTCACAGGTATTGCAGCAGTCGTATGTTAAATACTACGTGTTCATTGCTGCTCCGTATCTGTGAGCCTGGTCGTGGAGTATTTTGTGTTGCCAGATTACTCTAATGCAGTTCTGTCTGTAATGATGATTGGCGTTGGTTGATATGAAGCATTCCAATTAAGAATGATTTGTTTACTTTGCTATTCTGTTGTGCAGGGCATTTGGCCGTTGAAAGACCTCATTCAGTTTAGGTTGTTGATGAGTTCAGCTGAGCCCCATGTTAAAGTCGGTGCACCCCGTACTGCATCTGTATGGTTGTTTGGACTCAAAGAGTGTTCAGGTTTCCATGTGGTTCTGAAGAACGTTTGGTTTATACGCACTCGACGATGATGGAATGCTGTGTTTGGTGATTGACTAGCATGTGCTGTTAAGTGGCAGATCTTGCAGTTCATGGCAAAAGCTTTGGTAGACAAGCCATTTGGAATGCTTTCCAGTTTCTCTGGTATATGTGGTTACAATGTATCAGCTCATGGTTGATTTGTAATCTGGGAGAGCTGTGTTTGAATAATGGACATATGCATGTTTTTACTATTATTATCGTGTACACAGCACGTTGAGGTGGTGTTTGGTGTGAAACCGCCTCGTGTTACTCTCTAATTCTTTTGTTGTGTGACTGGTTGGTTCGCAACCAGTCTCGAAGAGGTATGGCTTTTAACCGGCCCTGTTAAAATGAGTTGATGTGTGAGTTCTCTGTACGATGTTTAAATGGGCAGTAAGTTTATCACTGGGTACTTGTTTGTGGTTGAGAATGACTATCTCCCAAGTTTGTGGCTTGAGCTTTAGTCTCCAACATTTTTCTATTTAATGTGTTTGACTATATTTTATCAGCTGCATACTTGCCAGATGCAAATACTCTCTTGCAATAAAATATATTTTTAATCTGAACACAGAGGCAGCGCAAGTGGGGCAGCGCAAGTGGATTTCACAAATATCACAACAACTAATGTGATTCTCTTTGCACTTCCACAAGAATGAGGTTGCGGCTGCCTCTCGAAAAATCATTCCAAATTTATTAGCCTTCATTTTATGAAATAGTTTTTACAGTTTCTAGTCTTGGGTGATGATAGCCACTGAGTGAGCTCTTGCTGGGCAAGGATATTGTGTGGATGGAGCTCTCATGTACTACATGAAAACCGAAATATTTGTGTATACATTAATTTGTCCACAAAATAGAGAGCATTCTTGATTAGCATCATATTAAAATAAGTATTACATAAATATTTTAGATACATAAGTAGGATTTCAAAAACAAAAATGGTTTTAAAACTAGTTTAGATATTTGCCATGTCATAGTTAAAACGTATATGATTTTTTGGAATTGGCTATTTTATGCCACTTGTATCTAATAAACTATTAAAATCCTATTATATCTACCGATTGTAGTATGGATCATTTACTAGAATACATAAATAATTTTAAAAAAATTTGATTAACAGAAAGAGACATTAGAAAGATATTATGATGATTTTTGTTTATACTCTTCCTATTGTGGCCTCTAAATACAAATAAAAAAGCAAAGAAAAAAAGAAGTCAATTCCAAATTCTACAGTAACATTATAATCCAACTATTCAATCATGTGTAAGAAATAAATTAAGAATTCACAATAGTTAATAGAATACATAAATAGAGACTTGTATCCATAGCCACACCTCTATATTTTTATTTGTGTGCTTGGGTGTTTTTAAGATCTATAAGTTTTCACAATTCAATTCTAATTAAAAATTAATATTTTGTTGTTACTTATTAGTTTTTATTTGATTATTTAAATGTTATTCTTAAAAATATTAAAACAAAAATAAACAATCAATCTTTGTATTAAGAATTTTTATTCTACAATTCTTATTTTAGTTGGAATAATTATTATCTTTGTATTCTAAATGCTAATTTTAAATTTAATTAAAATTTTGATATTTACGTTTTTATATCACAATCATGTTTGTAAACTAGTTATCTAAGGAAATTATTTTTCTTTTTGAATGCCATAATTTACAATCATTTATATGTTTAATTACCAATAGTAAAATTTAAAATAAAATACTAATTATATATATATATATATATAGGGATTTATTAAAGCCACAACCCAATTTTGTTAACAACACACTCCCTCTTGCCATCTCATGATTCATTTAGTCCTTGTTCCTGTCTATGTCCCTTGTTCCTTTTCTCTTGTCCTTGTCTCCCATCCTTGTTTCCATCTCTTGTCCCAAAATGTGTTTTATATGTTTTATATTTTTTCATTTTGAATGTTAAAATTATATATATGATATTAATTCATAAAATAAGTATACATAATCTAATTTCTTTTGTTCTTTTCTTTGAAATATAAGTTGCTTCAAATAAATTGAAAACAATAATGATCATTTATTATATCAGTTTTCTACAAACCAACCTACTCAAGGTGTTCTTCTTCAATTCAAGCAACATTTTAGAGTTTTATTTAGAAATTTTGTTTGAAATGTAAAACAAAAGGATTTTCTGTTAAAATTAAGCACATGTTGATTTTTTCTTGTTAAAATCAATATTATTATCATCATTGCTAACTCTATTATCTTACCATTGTTGTTTTTATTACAACCATTACTAATGCACAATAATCTTTTTGGTATATTATACAACTTATTCATTATTTTATTTGTTCAAAAAACTCAAAACTTAAGATGAGGGGGTTGGGATGGGACAAGGTGGGAATAAGGAGGGGGGAGGGAGGTCAAGATAGGGACATGGAATGGAGGTTGAATGAATTATGAGATGGCAAGGGAGGATGTGGTATTAACAAAATTGAGGTGTGACTTAAAAATATCCCTATATATATATATATATTCTTGGTTAAAAAACACAATTAGATTTGCAAATTATCAACAATACACTAAAATTATCATTGCTAGACTATTGTATGATTAAGATCTAGGTCGTGAATTTAATAGTCCTCTAACTACTTAATTCTATAACTTAATTATGTATGTGTAAATACATAATCTATTAACTGATGTACTCATTAGTTCAACTAATAAAGATTTAAATGATTTATTGGAATTTGTACATTATTCAGTTTTTATTCTAATAGTTTGATTTGATTGATGTAATGATTTTTGTAGATACTATCAATACCTTTCAATATGATCAATTTTGATTTTTATTCTAAAGTAGTTTTGTAATAACAGAAGCATTACTAAACAAGCAATATGTTTCTGAGAGTTTTAACTTTGCTTGTTTACCAAAGTATTATGCAAATTAATCAAAATGTATTGAATTAAAATGACTTCTTTATCCTGAATAGAACTTTTGATTTTATTTATTGACTTTCTTGTTTACTTAAGATCATTTGATGCACAAGAACTTACTCCTAATCAATCAAAACACTAACCTTTTTCTCAAGAAAAATCAGCCACCTTTCTCTACCAAGAATACAATTATGTGACAAGAGTATCAAGCTACTTATCAATTTCAAAACTTAAATTAATAGTATTCCTCCATCATCTTAAGCTATTTCTATCCATGAAACCACTATTCCAAAAAAAAAAAAAAAAAAAAAAAAAAAAGCTCAAAATCAAAAATCAAAATTAAAATAGAAACAAACAAGAATTTGCAATGAACAAGTTTCATGAGCAAGAGAAGCAGTAACAAACTGCAACAAACAAAAACTACAAATTATACCCCCACACACAAAAATACCTACTCACATACGTATAACTATACTCATAGACAAACTACAGCGTACGCGCTAGCCAAGGCATGCACAGCCATAGCTGCAAGCTCGCTCTCAAGCAAGGGGAGGATTCGATATGGAGCAAGCCCGGCGTAGCCTTCACGCCGCCACCACAAATCATCTATCCACGTCTTCAATGGAAGGGAGGGAGGTAGGGAGGGAGGCGGGTGGGCAATAGAACGCACTACCGTAGCTTGCTTGCTTGCTTGCGACATGGCTTCTCGCAAGCATAGCTTACTAGAGCTCAAAAGAGGCCGCGTCCACGAAGACCTGGCTATCGCGAGGCGTCGGCTCGTTGAAGCTGGGGAGTAGAGACCACTCGCGCCGTAAGAAATCGAACACAATGATGTTAACGGTTTTGTTGTTAAGACTGCGCCAGAAGAACATCCTGTGCTTGTGCCCCACTGCCCTCAGCTGCATCAGTTTCCTGCCCTTGTGCTTCTCAGTCATCACCGCGTATAGCTCCCTGGGCATCTCCGCTGTGGGTGTGAACCCCTGTGGCTGCGTGCGTCGTAGTCCCCACACCGTCATGGTGCCCTCGGCTACATTCTCCGTCGCCGCAAACAGGTTCCCCGCGTATTCTAGTAGCTGGAACGACTTGGAGGTGGTGTGATGGGGTAGCGGAATTGCATCATCTGTCCACTGCTCCCTTTCCACGTCGAATGAGATGAGAATTTCCTTGCGGTAGTAGTACAGTAAGCCCTGGCATAAAGGCGGGTTGATCCGCTTGTTCTTGATGCACTCCACCGTGTACTCTGGTAACCTGTCGCGCCCCGGACGCACCCTCGGGGGCATCCACGAGTCCAGATAGGAGTTGTATACCTCGGTGACGGCCGTTTTGATCGCTATGATTTGGAACACGGCGGGATCTTCCTTGTCCACCAGCAGAATGTTCGCTACTTCACCCCAAGTCTCAGTGGATACTGGAATCCTCCTCCATGACTGGTTCATGTATGGGTTTCCTACCACTAGCTGGGACAGTTCGGTCGTGGTTTTGAATCCTAGCAGGCTCTTCCCGTTCCCTGCAACCGAGTTAAAGGGTAGGTGCAATCGATTAGAGTCTACGTTATTCTAGAACGATTTCATGTACTTGAAAGTTAGAATAGGAATGACAGCGGGAAATATACCGTTGAGGGGACGAATGTCGACTTGCGGCAGTCCGGGGAGTGGGCACAACCGCTCCCACTGTCCACGAGTGCTGTTGAATCCAAACCATGTCAAAGAATTCGACTCTTCCGAATCGCGAATGAAAATGAGCGGACAGTACGAAACACTGGGGGGGTTGACATCGAGGAAGTGGGCTGTGTTCAGGGTGGGAACAATGTTCCACCATCGTTTGCACACAACTCTTGCTCTGATAGCGTCCAACAACGGCAGCCTCTGCAGCACCAGTTTGAGCACATCTTCCTGAAGATCATCCATTCCAGCGGGCTCATGATCGACGTCCATAGTGCTCATGCTCGTGAAGTTAAGGAGCTCCGCTGCAAATGATTCTAAAGGCGAAATTCGCCAGGTAATCAGAATGAAGGAGTGACGCTGTTATTTACAGCGTCGACCAGTAAGAGAAAATGGTTTAGCACACGTGTGCTCTATAGCAAGCAGTTCGGCTAATTCAGAGCACTTCGATGTTCCTATTTCTGCAATGCGAACCACCTAGTTTCGGCACAAAACAGGGAGCAAATCAACTTATGTCCATATTTCGAATATATCATAATGTTCACAATCTTGAACTGGTTGCCACGCACGTCTGGTGAAACCCTGTTGTGCAACGCTGCCGACCACTACACTGCTACTTTCTTCGACTCGATTTACATTTAATCCTGACCCCTGTAAAAAAATCCTGCACTCAGCGCTTTCTTGGTGCTTCGTCTGGGATCAGCCCTAAACCAATCTCCATATCCGTTCAGACAGTTACTTGTCATCACACCAAAAAGAGAGCAAAACAAAAGCGGAGCGCAGTTATCAAAAAGGAAAGTCCAGGCTGGATCATAACTTACATCCTGTGTGGAAGAATCGTTTCCTAGAACTCGACAATGACACTATGGACGCCTTCAGGAAAATACCCCCACAATGAATTTCAATATCAAAAAAGAAAAAAAAAGAAAAAAGAAAATCTTAACTAAACGACAAGAAAGGTCTTCACAGTTCTGAGACAAGGAACAGAATGCCATTAAACTATGACTCCTTGACGCTCCTCCTCTTAGTTTCATCCCAAGGAAGTAAAAGGATCGCCGGAAAAAAACATAAGCATGACCGAAACTTGAACATAATGGCTAAAGTCCTTCGGCAGTAGGGGCAATCGCAGAGCAACACACAAAAGAACATCCACTGGCGAAGGTCTAGATTTGAGATGAGCAAATCTGGAAGGAACTTGAACGCATATCTCCACTTCTCAATGGAGAGAGAGAGAGAGAGCCACAGTTCTACAAGTTTCGCTCCTCGCGAAGAACACTACCACCACGCGCTTTCCTCTCGTTCTTACAAACCGGATTTACATGAAAGTTGACCACACGACTGTAGCAAACCTGAATCAACGCGACAGCTGGGGACACCATCGGTCCCGCACTCCTGCGGATGCGCCTAGAAACCCGTAAGGCCTCTACGCGGGATTTGTTTTGTTTTGTTTTGTTTTGTTTTGTTTTTTTAAAATTCTCTGGAAGGTCGTTCTGTACTGGTTTTGAATGTCCGCACGAGGTCGTGGAGATTACCCACCTCAGACGTGGATTTGCATACTTACGACTAATGCCATCATGTTTACCCTGCAACACATTGAGATATTACCGAAAACATATGAAGCTTGCTTTACATTATTATTCTGTCTTCGTGGATGAAGGCTACGAAGGTGACCATGCACGCGAACTTTCCCTGTCTGAAAAGGAAGACTGACATGTCAACTGGTTGACTTGCAGATTTTTTTGCAGTAACTCCAGTTCTTCATCCGGGAGTTGGGAGGGAATAATCAGAAAATCTTGCTTCGTAAAGTACACTACCAGAAATTACAGAAGAATTCCTGTGGAAGGTGGAACAAACGGACCGATATAGACTTGAGACTTGGAGGACCGCCAACGATCTGCTCGGCGTGATCCCGAGGAAAGTGCTTTTATTCAGCCTAGTTGAAAACTATGCAAAATCTGAGATTCTTATCGTGCTGTTATCACTACTTAGGGATCACCAAATGAAGTAGAGGCGAACATTACTGAAATAAACAAAACTGATTCCCTCCCGTTTGCATAATATAGTTTCGCATAACATGAACTTTACGGTTACAATGACCTCCATCACCGGGTCCTACAAGCCTTAGAAGGTGCCCATTATTTATCAGCATGCACCAATTGAATTCGAATGTAAATATCCTAAGATAAGCGTCACGATAGGTTGCGAAAACGTAGATAAAAGAATATAGATGTTCACGAAATCCTCTCTGGATTATCTAAATAAAATATGACACCTTGGTCAGAGAGATATTCAACGCAATCCTTACACAAAGCCTGGTTGAAGAAGACAAATACTGTCACTAAAATATGAATGCACCCACACCCTGATCCTTGAATTAATTTGGTTTAATAACAAATTGAAGGGTACCGAACAGAACAATTTGAGATTTCCTTGCCCAGAGTTGTGCATGTGAAGTATGCACAGTTAAAGTACAATGCCGCACGACCTTCAGTAACAGAATATACTACCTGTCCCCGCGATCGTCGTCCACTCCAAAGATCACACAAAGTACACAAAACAAAATAAATGTCTTTTGCATCGTCTACACGAACTAATAAAAAACAGCTTCCAATGATGCTAGCCACAAGATAGTACGCAGGCCTAAAAGATTTGCCTGGTGACTTGCAATCAATGTCCGAGAAGCACCAGCAGACAATCCGACGATGCCAATACAGAGCTTCAAAGAAAGTAGCAATTGGTCAAGAGAACCGCACAACGTACCACAAAACCTCCCACGTAACCGTCCCAGTGAAGTTAGCAGCTGCAGGGCGAAAATTATCTGTTAAAGAAACGAACCCAACTCAAGGTCTGTTCTCCCGCTCTAGGCTTCGACGCCCCCCTAAAGACAAATGAAACCTCCTTAGGACGGACTCAATTAGCGAGAGTATTGCAGCATTCTTCTGATCAGATCGTCTCCCAACACCCGGAGTGATGAGAGGCCAAGAAATTCGGTTCTGGATAGGCGCTTTGGTGTGCTATAGGGACCTCACCGCCCCCCGTAAAGGAGGTAATGAGAAGGAAGAATGCTCCTTCGCCTCTTGCAACTCCATCTGGCCCCTAACCTTAACCGATTCTTCTACAATCTAACCTAAACCACGTCCGACCCTAAACGTTCAGTGCTGCGCACACAAGCTTGCGTTGCCGGAGGTGAGCGAGAGCGAGAGAGAGAGAACTCACTGGCTTGAAAAGTACCTAAAAACAAAGTTTCAACACGCCTCACGAAACAAGCAAATGGACACGTCCACGGCGTCCTCGGCTTCGACTTATGATCACTACCTAGCAATTAACAGGGGCATTCCAACGCCAACGCAGACATGAATCCTTTGCTTCTGGACAAATTCAAGTGATCCAGTTATAGACATAGATCCGAGTTCACCCTGATTCACTAGGAAGAGCACACCGACTGCCGGAAGATGCTGCACCAACATGAGATTTCGAGTCTTCGTCAAAGGTCAAAGTTAAAAACAAAAACAACCGCTCGTCGTTACAAGGTCCGAAGTTCCAATCACAAAGCACAAGTCTGCTAAATTTAATAATAATAATAATAATAATAATAATAATAATTTGTTTAATTGTCTGTACAGACGGTCCAGTAAGATCGCGTTGGACGCAAAACGCAACTTGCCAGCTGGACCATTTTAGTGCTGAGGTTGCAGACACCCTACTAATCGCACCGGTTGCTAGCTCTAGCATCGCTGATCACCACCAACACGTTCAATGCAGAATCTGCTAACCGTCTGCTCTGCTTGATCGGCGAGCCACGGCAACTTCGAAACTATCAGAAAAGTGGGGACTTACGTGGTGACAAGAATCAATCGTCCACCCCCCTACTAGTGCCCTAAAACCAGGCTCCCCTAATAAATGCCGCAAGCTCAGTGGAGCTATGTCTGAACCCTGCTCACCAGTGACGCCATCGCTCCAAGCCGCCGATACCTCTCGACCACTACTACACTTGGGCATATATCCACATCGTCGCATGAACCTGCACAGATGTGCGAATAAAAAAACAACAGCACAAATCTACTATTGAATCCAATCAACCACTGTTTATCGCCCCATCAAAAAATATATCTCTCAACTCTTTCTCAGTTACATCTGAACCCACGTTACTGTTGCCGGTTTCTTCACATGACTAGGTTGACATGAATTCTTTTCCTTTTGCTGTGAACTTGCTTGCAGTGCTTGAAAACCACTCCTCCGCATTAGCTTCTCTTTTTAATCGTGTCTTGTCAACGCCGTCTACATTCTCCACCGCTCTTACAAGCCTCAGCATTTGCTTGTATTCCATTTATTTTATTATTATTGTTATTGTTATTGTCATTATTTTTGACTAATGTGCTTTGTACTTCAAGAAAATACTTGATGGATTTATTTTATTTTATTTTCTGTAAATAAAGTACATGAGGGAGATTTTCAAGTAAAATAATTTTGTTAGCGATAAGAATAGTCTTATTACAGTCCATACTTTTTTGTAGTCCTTTAATCTACAACCTATGTAGCATTTTAATTGACATGATTTTTTTTTATCAAAGAAGGCATAATGATTGGTGTCTGATTTTCATATTATTCCAAATCAAAACATTATTTTTTAGTGTATATATATGTGTGTGTGTGTGTATATATATATATATATATATATATTTGTAGACTTATTATAATGAATGGGAAAACTTAAATAAAAAAATATATAATACTGCTGTTGAAATAATAAAGTTGTGGTAAACCTATCTTGTTACTAAACTGATTGTAGATATTTTATCCTTGAAATAGTTGATTTGTAGTTTAAAAAATTGAATTCTTAATTAAAAAAAATGAATTAATATTCAAATCATTTTTTTTTCAGATTGGATATTAATGTAAAAAAAAGTTTAAAGGAATTTTGTAGCTTAGCAACATGATTTGCAGAAAGCAAGTATTTTATTTTTACTACTTAATACATTTTTCTTGCTAAAATTTATTTAAATAGACTTTTGTAAATGTGAATACATTTTGTCACATTCCATTTATTTTATTCGAAATCTCATCAATCATTTTTAAGACATAAATTGATTAAGTAGTTGTGGATTTTAAAAAAACTTGATTAATTCCCTTGAAGTTTTTTGCAAACTTGACTTGGAACTAATACCTCATGTTTGGTTAACTTCTAAGGAGTTTATAATAATATTGAAAGGATGTGTATTGATCCTTCTATTTCTTCCTGTTATCTACTTTTATATTTAAAATGTTCCCAATAAAGATAATGGTGGTGTTATAGATTCAACTTCGTTTTCTTTTACAATATTTAATGATATTTATGACTTAATCTTTAAAATTAAATATTATTTTTTAGACTCAAAATAATCACCACATAATTATATATATTTTCTCATATAAACCACATTAAATTAATTTATATATAAATATATAAATAAATAAATAAATATATTGATAATTTTCAAATTTAAATTATTAATTTTAAATCAATTTTAACATTATCAGTTTTTATGTAAAAAATGAGAGTTTCAATCTTGCATTTTTTTTTTTTTTTTTTTTTGAGATTTTTTTTCTTGCAATTTATCTCAAACTTAAAATTAAACTTATTCGTGACCATTTCCATAATTAAGATTCTACTTTTGAATTATGAATGAATAAATGTGTTTAATTCTTATTTAGTTATTTATTTATTATATTTTATAAATAAAATTTAATATCATATTTTTTTATTTAATTAAATTAAATACACACACACACACATACACACACATGTTTATATTTATATATATGTATATTAATCTAAATTAGAAAAAGTATTTTTTCGTCTTTTTTTAACATCTTTTTTTAAACCTAATTGGAACCTACCACTTTGGGCTGCACAATGCTTGTTAGGGTTGCCTAACACATCATGCTTCTTCTGTGTTTGATAAATTGGATGGTGAGCCTTTGCTGTAAAACCCTTCTCAACCTCCCCTTATCACCAAACCCAAGGTTTGTGCATTTTCTGGTTTTATACCTGAAGTGATTGTTATATAGTACAGATGCAGTAAACTTCTATTTTTTTTTTGAATTGTGAAGTATTTTATTTTATTTTATTTTTATTGAAACAGCTCCGTTTTGGATTGCAGGAATGAATGCAAGGAAGTTGTTTGTAGTCTGCCTGTCCGAGAGACAGTATTTCGCTGTTCCCAAGAACTTGAAGCTTTTAGCAGTTAGTTGCTTTGTTTTGAGCTCTACGACAACGTTCAGGTCAGTTCAGTAATGTAGGAATTATTCAAGGATAAAAAAAAATGTTTCTTTCCCAATTCACCATCATTCGGACATCAATGCTGGGGTGCAAGGTATCTTAGATTTTTAACTGAATTGATGTAGTACTACTTTTTGTTGTTGTTTAATTGGGATTTGATTTGCTACTCTGTTTGTTCTTTTGTGCCTTTTGTAAGATAATTTACTTGAAATATAGTCAATCAGTACTAGATATTTTGATACGATGATTATTACCTTGCAGAGATACGGTTCTGTGATTTCTGCTATTCCTCAGCAGTTATCCAGGTTTAACTTCAATACCATCGACAGCTGATTTGTGGACTAACTTCCATCTTTGCTTGGAATTTGCGAAATCGCAATGTTCTACAGATTCTCTGACCAATTTTATTTTCCAACCTTTCATGAATAAATTGTATAAGAAAGACCAAATAATAATGTTATTTAATAAGTCTAAATATTTTTATTGGAATACCACAAAAGCATCATAATATTTTTTTTAGTTAATTTTGTTTTTTTAAGTTTTGTCTTAATTACCTTCTTTGTTACCTCTTCATATAGTAGTATTGATGGAAGAAAGAAGATATACATATATATATATATATATATATATATATATATATATTTTATAGATGTCATAGCACATGTGTCAAGGACAAGAACTTGATAAAGACAAATAAATAAGTGAGACTTCTCTCAAAGAAAGATGACAAAATAGAAATAACTCAATATGTATATTAAGAAAGAAACTGGAATGGCTATTGCCAAAAAACAAGAAAACTAGAGACCCTTGAAACTAGAATAGAAGCAAGAAAAGAGTTGACAAGAGTGAAGTGGGCTTTACTCTAGTCTCTATATATACTATCTAACTAAGGACTTGTCATGGACATACTCATGTAAGCCAATAATTACATATATAAATAAGTAGAAGTAAGTAAAAGTAGATAAAAATAAGTTAATTCTATAGTATTTGATATGGAAGCTTCCTATAAGATTCACAGACATTGCTTTGACTTCATAGGTGTCTTTAATTGACTTTTTGGATTAGAAACGTGGTCAACAAGTTGGCCATGTGCCACACATGTTGTTAGCTTGAAGACCAAGCTAACTATGTGGCCCACACGTAAAAAAATTGGCCTTGTAAGTCAAGGCATGTGTCCTACAAAGTCAACACATATTGGAGGTCCTATAGAACATCGCCACGTAGCCCCTAGTTAGATAGTATATATAGAGACAAGAATGAAGCCTTCTTCACTCTTATCAACTCATTTCTTGCTTCTAGTCTAGTTTCAAGGGTCTCTAGTTTTCTTGTCTTTTCGCAATAGCCATTCTAGTTACTCTTTCAATATACATACTTGTTTATTTATATTTTGTTACCTTTCTTTGAGTGAAGGTTCATTTGTCTAAATTACTTTTTAATCAAGTTCTTGTCCTTGACAGTTTGACAAGAGTACACTTATAATATAAGAGCTTTGTCTTTTCTTCATTAAGAGCAGATTATGTCTTTTTCTTGATAAGACATAAGTATATTAAGAGTTGCAGATTACCCTCTTTTAAATTGATATTCTTTTTAGTATTTTCTTTGTTCTCAAGTCCTTTCTCTTACTTGTCTTGAGCAATATTAGACATTTTTTTTTTAGGTATTACCATGGCAAAGCTTCTCGAATTGAAGAGTGCAATGACACAAATGTAAGAACAACTGAGATAATTAATGCTTGTGATGCATTAACTTAATTCACGACCAGAAGGAGGAACAAGAATAACAAAAAGTAGAGATGTAGAGATGGTCAGAGCTGCTTCAATATCTACATCGAATCATGCCCCTTCTCTTATGGTGGAACACCATTCAAATGCTAGAGAACCAAGAATTGCTTTATCTGAGAAATTTAATGGTGTAAAATCAAAGTTTCGAGGATTCATCAATCAAGTATAATTGGCAATCGAACTTCAACCCCAAAGCTATCCAACTCCAGGATCACAAGTCAGGTTTATTGAAACAGAAATCTAATTCTATTTGTGAAGAAAAAAGATGGATCATTGCAGATGTATGTTGATGATTGAGGACTCAACAAGATTACCATCAAGAACAGGTATCCACTATCTTTAATATCTGGACTTCTTGATCACTTGAATCAAGCTAAGATCTATACAAAAATAGATCTTCAGGGAGCATAGATCTTCAGGCAGCA